TATACTACTATATATATATATATATATATATATATATATATATATATATATATATATATATATATATATATATATATATATATATATATGTAAATGTTTGTATCTGTGTGTGTATATATACACACATATATATATATATGTAAATATAATCCCATATACTATATACATATCCAACAACAACAGAACATACTGGCAAGGATGGTAACGATGGCAACGATCGTGATGAAGACCCAGTTGTAGATGGACAGGCCGATCATCTTGCTCTCTGAGAAGTCTGAGGGCGCCGATCGCACTTGATACGCCAACATCGCACCCAACACCATGATGGCCAATTGGATGCCCACGAGAATGGCCTGCAGGGGCCCTACTTCACACACCTGCCACTCTATGCCCGCGAGGATCTGGGAGTCCCGTGAGATGGGGTACAGGGCCAGGTAGATGGACAGCCCTACACTGCACACTACAAACATCCCGCCCAGATGTTGCAGCAGCTGGCTGTGTGTGTATGTGGGGGAGTGGGTGAGGGGGGGGGGGAGCGCAGCAGGTGAGAGTGTGCAGAGGGGTGTGTTTAGCTTTGATGTGAGAGACTCTGGATTGGGCGAAAGGGCTTCGCTGACATATGAGATATGAGATATGGCCAGCGTGAATGGTATAAACAGGAACACGGACAAGTAAACAACTACACAAACACCGATACAAAGGCAAGAGACCATAGACATGTCAAGAGCTTAGGGTTTAGGGTTTAGGAAAAAATACACACTACACACTACACACTACACATTACACACTACACACTACACATTGCACACCACACCCTACACATTACACTCTACATCCTACACACTACACACTACACATTGCATTGCACACTACACTTTACACACTATACACTACACCCTACACACTACACATTGCACACTACACCCTACACATTGCACACTACACCCTACACATTACACACTATACACTGCACACTACACATTACACCCTACATACTTGTCCCCTAGACTGGCACCAGAGTTCTTGAGCTTCGCAATGTCAGAGCCAAAGATCATGCGTATCCTGTACGTCTTAATAAACAACGCTCCGAAGGTGATGACGAACCCACAGTTCCACAGGCACATGCCAGTGTAACAGCCCCACGACCCCTCTGTGGCCAAGTAGATCAACGGCTGTGCACAAGGGCAGAGTGTGCGGGAGATGAGCATATGGGAAGAAGGAGTACGTGCTAAAAACCCTAAATCAGTACAAACCTCCTTGACACGAGTGTGGGAAGATAGATGTGTGGCATACGCCAACAAGCGTAGCCTTACCCGCGATAGTACAATAGATTGTCTGTGGTGACAGAAGGTGCCCCCCGTACACAGAGACTAGAAAACGTACCACAACCCGATCGGAGAAAACGTACCACAGAACCACTGACTATAGAAATGATAGCAGCGAACGTAATACAGGTATACCGATCGTACAAACCGTACCACGTGCACTCATATCCAGAATACGTAATAAAAGTACATATACTGGCAATAGAAAACGTACCACCGGCAAACTGATGATGCCGCCCACCAGCATCAGCATCATGAACACGGGACTGGCCTTCTTCAGTCGCGCATGCTCATGGCGATAGTACATGACACCGCAGAAGGTCAGCACCAGCACCACCTCACACGCCACCACCAACGCAATCATGGTGGCCAGGATGGGCGTGGAGATGCTGCCCTCCTCTGTAGTGCAAGGCGGCGGTGGGGTGGGGTGGGGTGTGTGAATGTGGATATGAATGAGAGTGGGAATGGGAATGGGAATGGGAAAGTGAACATGAATGGGATATGAGAGAATTGGGGGAATGGTTGTGCAGATGGTTGTAGGATCATACAACAGAACGAAGAAGTGAAGCCAAACAGAGCGAGAGGCGGGCGAGGTAAACATGTGGGTGGCCATAAGCACAGCCCAGAGAACATACACAGCCCATTATGCCATGCACATGCACATGCACGAGTGATCATGGAACTGAACAATTATAGACTAATAATATATTAATCATAGATTAATTATAGATTAATCTACGATTTATTATAGATTAATCAGAGACTAATCATAGACTAATAATAGATTACTCATAGACTAACAATCTACTACTCATAGACTAATAATAGACTACTCATAGACTAATAATGAACTACTCATAGACTAATAAGAGACTACTCATAGATTAATAATAGATTAATATCAGATAAATCATAGGCTCATAACAGATAAATCATCGACACAATGAATTAATCATAGTCACACAATAGATTAATCATAGCAATCGTATAGCGTCTATGTAACCGCTTCCTGTGCTCATAAACGTTCACTATCCACACAACCGCCTACACCTCCTCCCCCGCATACACCAATCACCACTCGCTCATGCACCGCTGCACACCCTTGCACATACCATTGAGGACGACAGAGTTGACCTGCAGCTGAATGCTCTCATTCCACGGCCCATCGCCATCGCACGAGTACTTGGCCAACTGCAGTGCCTTGGAGAACAGCTGCTGACTGTAATTCCCCAGCGGCACAAACCACGCACGCGCCCCGGGATCTGTCAGGGTCCACTGCAACGAGACGCCGCATACGAGGTGTAGGGTTTGGGTTTTAGGGTTTAGGGTTTTAGGTAGAACCACAAATGGATAGGTGGGGTGGATGGGTGCGTGCGTCATGCACGTGGTTTGATGAGTAAAAAAACTTAAATATGTAAGTACGTAAATATGTAAATACGTATAGTGAGCGTGGACGGAATACAATCCGATGTCAGTTGTGGGCAGAACGCAATACATCAATTGCTAAAAAAACCCCCCGGTGCTGACGAGAGCTAAACCCTAAACTAAAAACCCTAATCTGAAAACTCTAAACCCTTGACTGCAGTGTACGCTTTGAACTGCTTCTATCGTTTTCTCGTTGTTCTGCGAGTGAGTGAGTGATTTGAGGGTTTTAGGGTTTTAGTTATCGGTGAGTGAGTGAGTGAGCGAGTGAGTGTGTGTGTGTGTTTTTTAGATTGATTGTTTTGGATGTTAACCACGGATACCGGACACTCTTAACATGGGAAGGCCCACATACATATCATTCTTTTCACTTGACACGTCACATACATATCGTTTCTTGCGCTGCTCCAGGTAACAGGCGGCGGTGAATGAGTCAATACTCACGCCCATCGATTCTTTCGTTTGCGATTTGGTGTCAAAGGTCAACCTGAAAGGACAGGAATATCATGACACAACAAAAGTGATGAGTGAGTGAGCGATATCATATCATATGAGAAACCAAAGAGATGAGTGAGTGGTATCATATTATATGAGAAACCCTACACACATTCAACAACTACACATTACACACATACAAACGACACGCCCACATCAACAACCAACACATAAACACTTCACAAGCACACACGAGGATAACCGCAGGAGAGTGTGCGCAGCAACGGATGATGACGCTCACCTGAGTCTGTTTGTTTTGATATCCCGTCGGCAGAAGTTGACGACAGTGTAGTAGGTGGTGTCATCAATAAACGATCCCTTCATGGGGCCTAGAGACCCCCGGAATACCGGATACCACTGCTCGCTGCAGGTTAAAAAGAGCCAAACAAAACGCGTCAGGTAGGTTAGATGACCAGGAGAGCCACATACAGCTGCAGCTGCACCGAAAGCGACTGGATTGAACGGAATCGTGTGGCACATATCGCAGGGCCAAACACGCACTTACATAGCAACACCATAGCAACCGCAAACACCATAGCAACCGCAAACACAACAACAGAGGGCTCACTGGCAAGTACGACAGATGATGCATTCATTGGTACACAACACAACACAACACTCCATCGCAAGTGCGTTTCCATGGCAACGCAGCAGGTCGCATACTCGTCGTAGTTGTAGAGGTCCACGCCGGTGATGTTGGCGCTGTCCCGCTGCACAAACATCCAGATGTCTGTGATGTACCACGTGGTCAGCACAGCCGCGTCTTCGGGGGGGTTGAGTGTGTAGTTGAGCTCAGGCATTGACACATCTACTATGAACGACACCTCCCCCCCGTCGTATCGATAGGGGCGGAAGAACTCCTGGTCAGGGTTGCCTAGCAACCGTGGGGAAAGGGACAGGGGGCTTGTGAGCTGGATGTCATGACAGGCCTAACCAGCTATGTGGCTCTCCCAACAAGTAATGCAAACCATTGCAGCAGAAAGTCATTCTAGAGAATGGTGTTCGATGCTCTGGCGTAGCTACAGCCATGGCACACATACCGAATATATTCTGGGGCGGATAGTCCTTGTAGAAGCCTGGAGTGAAGTCCTCCGGAGGATATGAGGGATACCCCGGCTCATCCTTAATAAAGCGGAACGGCTACAACGAATGGGTGACAGGTGAGCACGAGCACATCAAAGTAACTACGTATCATAGACCGGCAATGTAACTATGTATCATAGACCGGCAATGTAACTATGTATCATAGACCGGCAATGTAACTATGTATCATAGACCGGCAATGTAACTATGCATCATAGACCGGCAATGTAACTATGTATCATAGACCGGCAACGCAGCTGTGGCATTGCGTGTGTGATTTGTTGTGATGTGTACGTATGCTCCGTTGTTTAGTTACAAGCCGTGTGCGTGCATGTGTGTGTGTGTGTGTGTTTGAAGACACACGTGTGGGTGGTGGGTGTTTCTGTGTGACTGCACCTATTGCGCAAATAGGGTTTTAGGGTTTAGGGTTTAAAAATAGAGTCGACGTTGCAGAGGCGCAGGCGACACTTGACACTCGGCTGAGATGTGTTTGTGACGGATGAGCAAAGTGAGAGTCAGCAATGGCCCGTTGGTGGGGTTTGGGGTAAACATGGCCCAACCCCAAATTTCACAGGCCAATGTCAATGACCGTTCCCAGTACTGCGATAGAATCAAACGAAGGTTCTGAAGTTGTGGATGTAGTTAAGATATCACGACCCCCTTGACTGTCACTACAGAACCCTCTGTAAAAAGATGGGAATATAGAACACCCTGACTACCAACACAGAACACTCTGTAGGAGGATGGGAATATAGAATACGGTTGGTGTAAAACAAGTTCAACACGCGTTTGGCCCACGAATAAACCACAGTGCATGTGCTTCTCACTCTGCATGTGCTTCTCACTCTGCATGTGCTCACAGCCTACCGTGGTGACACTGTACTCTCGCGAGAGCAGTTTGTGATTGATGGAGTCTAAAGGGTCGAACACAAACGGCACGCCCTCCTCGTAGTCAAACAAGTAGCCATCCGTCTGGTTGCTAGGCAACGAAATCACGTCATAAGTCCATGACTCACCCGACGACGTGTTCCACATAGGACCCAATAGGATGGCTGCAAGCGGTCACAAGGGTTTAGGGTTTAGGGTTTAGGGTTTAGGATTTAGGGTAGATGCGAATCAGGCAATGTGTGTGTCTACGCCAAGGGAAAGGAAACGATGGAGAGTCACTCTGGTGCAAGTGAGCTGCTATTCTAGCCATAGTCGCACTACTGCAGAGCAGGCATATGCCCGCTGAGAGAACACAACGTTAACAGGACATGTAGGGGCTTTCAGGGCGACTAGGGTTTAAGGTTTCCCGGCCATCTAGGGTCTAGGGGTTTTCAGGACATGTGGGGTTTAGGGTTTCTTAGCATGCAAAGAATATACCGTCGTTGGGTTGTGCGATGACGTAAGGGCACGTGTTGGTGAGGTTGAATTTGCCGCGTGAGGGGTTCGTTGTTGCGTCAGCCACAGAATCTGTGATACAATAGTCACACTTTGGAGACCCTGGAAATAGAACAGACGAGGAGAACAGATGAGCTAATAATAGCGCATCTAAAAATAGAACATCAGAGAAGAACAGATGCAGCTAAAAATAGCACATCCGAGGAGAATAGATGAGCTAAAAATAGAACATCTAAAAATAGCACATCCGAGGACAACAGATAAGCGAAAAATAGCTAATCTAAAAAAAAGGACATCAGAGGAGATCACTCTGAGCACAACCAGACACATCCTTGATAGGCCCAATAAGTGACGCCCGTACGATGGTGTTTACTTTACTCTATCAACTAGAGGCTTTTCACCTTCCAGACATGTGCCTCCATAGCCACCGCCGCTGTCGCTGCACAGCACCTACCGTAGACGTCGTTGTACTGGCCAGTGGGGCATAGCACACACTGTGCATTCCCTGGGTCGGCCTTGAAGTAGTTGGGGGCGCACTCGACACACGTGGAGTTGTACCGAGAGGTGGTGCCTGCCACCCACGTGCCCACTGGACACGGCTGGCAGGCTAACGCATGTAGGGAGGTGGGAAGGGAATGAAATGTAGGTAAGTGGGAAGGGAATGCAATGTAGGGACATGCAAAGCAATAGCTGTGTGTTGGCAGATACACATGCACATGCACATGCACATGTGCGGAGAGGGCTACTTCGCATACATATTCTTCAGCTTATCAGGACTGTCGTTGCATATATGTGCTTCTAGTACAGTTTAGTTAGCGGGTCCTCTCATGTACGACTGCTGCAGTCTTTCTGACTTGTTGTCGCATGCACATGTTTGGTTCCACATACACGTGTGTACGCTCAGTTGCTTTAGCGTGTACGTTTACGTGTGTTGGTGTGTACGTTTACTTGCGTTAGTGTACGTTTACTTGTGTTGGTGTTTGTACGCTTACTTGTGTTGGTGTGTACGCTTACTTGTATAAGTGTGTACGTTTACTTGTGTTAGTGTGTACGTTTACTTGTGCTGGTGTGTACGTTTACTTGTGTTAGTGTGTACGTTTTCTTGTGCTGGTGTGTACGTTTACTTGTGTTAGTGTGTACGTTAACTTGTGTTGGTGTGTACACGTACTTGTATTAGTGTGTACGTTTACTTGTGCTAGTGTGTACGTTTACTTCTGTCGGTGTGTACGTTTACTTGTGATAGTGTGTACGTTTACTTGTGTTGGTGTGTACGTTTACTTGTGCTGGCGTGTACGCTTACTTGTGCAAGTGTGCAAGTTTACTTGTGTTGGTGTGTACGTTTACTTGTGTTGGTGTGTACGTTTACTTGTGTTGGTGTGAACGTTTACTTATGTTAGTGTGTTCGTTTACTTGCGTTGGTGTGTACGCTTACTTGTGTTGGTGCGGTCAATGAAGAAGCCGTCGTTGCATGTGTACGTCTCAAACAAGCGCACTTGCAGAGGCTCTGACCACCGCAGCCCATCGGACACTTCGTATGTGAAGTTGTTGGGTGATGTGTCGTTGCGAATGCTCAGCTCCCTGTGCATTGCATGAGGGGATTAATTATGCATTTAATTGATTTAAGCATTTAACTGGGCATATTTAATTGGGCATATTTAATTGGGCCATGCTCCATACACACCCACCCAGCCACCTACACACACACATACCACCAGTTGCGCGACAGCTCCATCTCCTCCATGATGGGTCTGTAGTACACGGCCACCTGTTGCTGGCCTGGCGTGTAGTGTGGTAGTTCGCTGCCAGCCATCAGCCGCTGCGCTGACTTGTTGCGGTAGTAGTCGTCGGTGTAGAGCGCACCCAACGACACGCCCATGCCAATGCGCACGGCACGCCCCTTGGCGGAGAGGTCAGTGATGTTCAGCAGAATCTCCTGAACACGCACACGCACAGCAGTCGAGAGAAGAGGATGGGGGGGGGGTGAGAGGGGGGGGGGTGGAAGACCCTGAGACTATAAGACGATGAACAGACAGACGGGTGAGAGAGGGGTGGAAGAAGCTGGATATGATAGAATAGGATAGGACAGAGGGGTAACTAAGAAACGCAAGCATATACTGCGACCCCAAAGCCATAACAATCCAGGCCAGCGAGGCTGAGAGAAAACTTGCATTGGTAACAATGTAACCACACACTACGAACAAGTGCACACACTCTACGAGCATGCCGGGTTGTCAATCTCCGCATAAACAATGGGCACAGCACTACACACTCACAACACACATCACACACCACAGATGAAAGCACAGGTATGCACACACACACACAAAGATGCACATACATACATACATACATACACAAACGTACATACATACATAACACATGCACATACATACACATACAAACGCACATATATACATACACACACGCACATACATACACACACATACATACATACACACGCGCACATACATACACACACACACATACATACACACACACACGCACATACATACACACGCGCACATACATACACACACACGCACATACATACACACACACGCACATACAAGGCAGTTGTAGTCGTACGGCCCCTCCTGTTCAAACACGTAGTGGCCAATGGGAGCAGTTGAGATCACTCGCTCAGGCACCGCAGACCAGTCCTTCAAGCGATGAACAGAACATATAAAGAGAAGAAACGCGAAGAGAAGATGAAGAGATGAACATTTAAAGAACAGAGATGCGCAGAGGAGAGAAGAGATGAACATTTAAAGATAAGAGAAGAGAAGAAGGAAATGGACAATGGAAACGCAACACAGTACTATGCAGTGGTATAGCATGTATTCTATTAATAGAAGTTTTGATAAAACACGGCTGGGACGCCGCGAGGACTGAAAGCGTTTAATCAAAAAGGGTAGTTCATTTGTTTTTTATACAATGTTTATATTTATCCGCGCAGGGCGGAGAGAGCTGGCTGAGTCTTACTCGTACACGCTCTCACTCACACTTACACTCACATTCATTCTCATACACTCTTACTCATACACTCTTAATCACATTCACGCTCACATTCACATTCAATTGATAAAAGTATTCTATATATAGAAGTATTGATAAAAGTCTCATGAAAGTATAAATAATAGAATTAATAGAACAGGAGTATTAATAACAGAATTAATAAAAGTATTAACAGTGTTAACAATTGTATTAACAGCGTCAATAAAAATATCAACAATAATATTAAAACAGCACCAGGAAACGTCTAAATAAAGATATTAATAAAAACATTAATAAATGTTTTGATAAAAGTATTGAAAATCAATAAAATTATTAACGGCAGTATTTATAAAAGTTTTAATTAAAAACATCAAAAATGATAGATGTACTGATAAAAGTAACGATGAAAGTATTAACATTAAATAAAAGTATTGATGAAAGTATTAACATTAAATAAAAGTATTGATAAAAGTTTCAACAATAATTTCAATCACAGCATAAAAGTTTTAATAAAACTGTCAACGAAGGTATTCATAAAATTAATCACAAAGGTTTTAATAAAAGTACTAATACAGTATCAATGAGATTCGAATTAATGTAATACAATATAAGTCACTAATAAATGTCACTAATAAATGTAATACAATATAATTCACTAATAAATGTAATACAATATAAGTCACTAATAAATGTAATACAATATAAGTCACTAATAAATGTAATACAATATAAGTCACTAATAAATTTAATACAATATAAGTCACTAATAAATGCAATACAATATAAGTCACTAATAAATGAAATACAATATAAGTCACTAATAAATGTAATACAATATAAGTCACTAATAAATTTAATACAATATAAGTCACTAATAAATGCAATACAATATAAGTCACTAATAAATGCAATACAATATAAGTCACTAATAAATGAAATACAATATAAGTCACTAATAAATGTAATACAATATAAGTCACTAATAAATTTAATACAATATAAGTCACTAATAAATGTAATACAATATAAGTCACTAATAAATGTAATACAATATAAGTCACTAATAAATGTAATGAAATACAAGTCACTAATAAATGTAATACAATATAAGTCACTAATAAATGTAATACAATATAAGTCACTAATAAATGTAATGAAACACAAGTCACTAATAAATGTAATACAATTCAAGCCACTAATAAATGTAACAAAATACAAGTCACTAATAAATGTAATGAAACACAAGTCACTAATAAATGTAATACAATTCAAGCCACTAATAAATGTAACAAAATACAAGTCACTAATAAATGTAATGAAACACAAGTCACTAATAAATGTAATACAATTCAAGCCACTAATAAATGCAATAAAATACAAGTCACTAATAAAAGTAATGAAACACAGATCACTAATAAATGTAATAAAATACAAGTCCACGCAGTGAGAGAGAGTACGCGCAGTGTTTCTGCCTATGGCGCGAGTGGGGACTGGTGGCACCCATCGACCACTTCAGCGTGAACACGACTTGTCGCAAATTGCACCTGTCGCAAATTGCACCTGTCGCAAATTGCACCTGTCGCAAATTGCACCTGTCGCAAATTGCACCTGTCGCTAATTGCACCTGTCGCAAACTGTACACTTCCATCCAACCATTGCCCTAGACATTCACGCGGCACCTACCTGGTCGCGCCTGAGCTTAGTCCACATGGCCTCGTATTCAGCCGCGGTCAGAGCACTCTGTCTGCGGTAGAGACTGTGCAAGCAGCCAATGGGATGGGAATGTTAATCACGGGAATGCTCCAAACGGCTAAAACCCTGAAACCCTTAATCACATGCGTGATGCAGGGTAGTGTTAGCCACATGAAGGTTAATCCTGTGAAAGTTCATTACAAAAAGGCTAAAACCCTAAACACCCTAGTCACATGCATGATGCAGGGGAGTGTTCATCGCGTGAATTGTGTTGACTTTTTATAGGAGCGCGTCATTCGAATCAACTGCGAACGTTCTGTGGGCCATTGGATGTGGCGCAACGTATGACTGCGAGATTTAAACAATACCGAACTTTTACACCACAAACCCACACAAACACAACAAGGCACTCTATAGCCATACAACTACAACAGTCCACATCAGCACCGCACACAAACAACACGACCCTAAATCAACACTATGCGTTAGCTCGCTGACCTGCGTGTGGGGTGTGTGCTGCGTCGGCTGTTTGCAGCTGACTGTAGAGTGGTGGGGTCAGTGAGGTACAACTGTTGGATGTCCTGTGACGAGATGGCCTCGGCAGTGGGTGGGACGGGGAAGTCGTCGGTGAGATAAGTGCTGTTGCTATAGTAACAGTGGGCTCCTCCATGCACCTGTATGCCATGGGTAGGGCTGTTGTAAGAATCGGTTTATCACTCACACACACACACACACACACATGTGTGTGTATGCATGTGCACGAGTCTGGGTATGCGGGATTGCGTACAACAATGTATCTGGTTGAAGTATAAGGCACGTACAATGAACTGTGTGCACTTGCATCCACATGAACCATTGCATGCTTTCACACACTTGCACAGGCCACTAAGCAGCCTACATGCGTGTCTACCACATTCACACCCACGACCCACACCCACAAACACGCAGACATATATATATATATATATATACGTACAGACATACATACGTACAGACATACATACATACATACAAGCATGTATACACACACACACACACACGCGCGCGCGCGTGCATACATGCATGCATACATACATACATACATACATACATACATACATATATACATATATATATATATACCCAAACACGCACACCCACTGCCACGCACCTCGTACCCCATGTACGCGTCTGAGGCTGAGTTGAGTGCAATGGGCAGGCACACATAGTCTGATCGTGGCGTGATGGCCCATCCCTGGTAGTACTGTGTTGCTAGGGTGGTGTTGTCACACACAGCACACCCAGCCGAGTGCAAATGGTTGCCATGGCCACTCAGATCAATCGCAATGGACGCGTCGGCTTCGTCGAAGTTCCAGTAGCCCACCTGTGGCAGACAGTGAGTCATGGTTAGTGAGTGAGTCATGGTTAGTGCACGCAGGTGTAGGCGTGAAGCGAAGGGTGGTGTAGCTGTGCGTAGTATGTGTGTGCTATTGAACGGTTCCAGTCATGGGTGTAGTGTAGAGAGAGACGTATGTACTTGTGTGGCAGGTGTTCGTAGCTGCGTCTGTGGACTGTGTGATTGCGATGGTGTCACTAAAGACATTCGCAAAGCCGTCCGCGGAAGCAGGCGATAGTAACTCTAGTTACAAACCCTACATACAACAGCTAGATACAAACCCTAGATACAACCGCTAGATACACCAGCTAGATACAAACACTAGATACAAAGCCTAGATACACCAGCTAGAAACAAACCCTACTACAAACCCTAGATACAACAGCTAGATACAAACCCTAGATACACCAGCTAGAAACAAACCCTAGATACACCAGCTAGATACAAACCATAGATACACCAGCTAGATACAAACCATAGATACAACCGCTAGATACAAACCCTAGATACACCA